ATAGAAATGAAGGTACAATTGTAAAATGAAGAATAAAACATTTAATCGCACCACAATCGTAACTTTTTAATGCTATTAGAATTATGTACAATTGATAAAAAAATAATCATATTCTAAAAGTTAGTGAATCTCATCATTGTCGAATTAGATTACCATTTGTTGGTAAACTATAATTAGGGTAATCGCACCACACCTAAAATGGAATACCATTCGGAGCTAACTCCCCACGTATCATCTTTCTTATATCCGCTAGGAAAAATAAGTGCATAACCAAATTATGTATGAAACTATAAAACATATATGTAGAAAGAAAAAACACTTAACTAAACGATGTATGCTTTAGTGCATTCCATATTTTTTAACTAAAAATCTGAAAAGTTACACTATTTAAGTTTTGTCAATTTACACATGTTTGTTAAAAGATCTTTAAAGAAAATTAAAATGTTAAACATATTTAATTAAAATTTTATAATTACTATATCTATACCGTACTCATGATAAATCACCATTCAAATATTATTCTATACCGTTTATTTTATACTATACGAACCATACGTTATGCATGACACGTTTGTTCACATGCACCGCAATTGAGTGTAGTGCACCTCTTAAGCCTAAGAGAAAAAGAATACAATCTTATTTATAGGAGAATATTCTAATACAAAAAAAAAATAGATATTGTTTTACAATTAATGAAATACGAAAAATACTTCATAGATATTCTTAATTATAAAAGTAAACAAAAGATTCCATCTAACTCAACACAAATATATACAAACAAATTATTAACTGGTTATAAGTTGAAAACCATACGGCATTAATTATTGTTGTTGTTTCAATAAACATAATCTACTAGACTATTTTCTTGATTTTCCGCCGAAAAATAAAATAGAATTACGATAAAAATTGAGAAATTTTAAAAAATGCCATTTTTCAAATGCCACTTTTTCAAAATTATTTTTTCTTTATACTATTTATGTTTGAGTTAATTATGTTCTATTAGGGTTTAGTTACGGGAGTTTTAGGGGTCAAAACATTT